AAACCCTTAGAGCCACCTCAGGGGGAGAGCAGCTCCTCCGGCAGGGCGCTTCTGCGGCCTCCGAGCCGGCAGGTTTTTTCAAAGCTTGGGCTTTTTTCAAAGCTTTTTTTTCATTCTTTTATCTGGTTTCCTGAGAAACAAGAATTATACGGTTCTGCTCTCTGCTGCCTGTTTGTTTGCACCTAACACCCTTTGCACTGAGGGCTGCTTTCTACCAAGTCTTGACGATGGGGAGAAGTTCCTCCAAGTTTATGACAAGAGACAGCTGGATGGAGTGCTGCTGCGTGGAAAACGTGGCAACAGCAAGCCTAAACCTTACTGGAGAAGCTTTAGGAGAATCCACACGGCAGAGTGCCGCCACCAATGCCCCGGTGGCAGAAAAAGCTTCAGGGGGCACTTGAACGCATTTAAAACCAGCAAATCCAAGCGCGAGATGCGTCCCATCCAGTTTTTGTTATCTGGGAAACTTACATGCCTAGCTGAGCAATAGCCCGCTCCCGGGGGAGTTCCCAGCGAGTGGGACTGCGCACGGGTTTTCTGCCCTTCCCAGGCTTTGGGTCCCTCGTGGTCAAAGTCCCTTTGTTAGCAAGTAAAAGGATATTCTAAATGTATGGGTGTTTTGGAATAAGGGACGCTTCCAGTAGTTACTGGAAGGAGGACATGAGCTTGAGGGACTCGCTGCTGTGAAAGCTGCTGTGTCCCAGGCATCCGTCTTCTCCCATAAACCGGGATCCCCTTCCCTTGGGTGTCGTCACGAAGCCACTTCCTGTGGTTTCGGTGGCTTCAGGCGGCCAGGAAGGAAGCGGTAAGCGCGGATAACGTATGTGCGTCGAGGGAAAGGGCAGCATCCCCTGTTGCCTCTCGAGGGAGAACGGCACACCGTGTCCGCGTGCCCGCAGGTGAGGAAGGTGGGCGCGAGGGCGAGCGTAGAGGGAATCTCTCAGGCTCCCTCTTTTCCTGAGGAAGCTGAAGCACCGCAGCCAGTGCAATGGGAAGATCCCTCGGCACAGTTCCAAGACGGTTCTTTCTCCGAAAGATGTGATCTGGGTAATTAGCTCTGCCTGTGACGAGACACGTCTTTGGCTCTCTGATGCCCGCGAGCCCGGAAGGAGAGGCTTGTGGCAGCACCCCTGCGTTGCTCCATGGTGTGCAGCTACAGCTGAGCAAGGGAGCCTTGCCCTGCTGGCTGTAACTAAAGCAAATTTTCAAATTTTCAGCGTGGAGAGGTATAAGTGGGCAGTGTTGGAAGCCCTCCAGGCTTGGGCCTGGCTGTTCTTGGAGGTGGTTGTGCACATCTTGGTTCCCCTTGGAGCAGACTGTCCGTATGGGGCACAGCGTTGTGCTAAGTGAAAGCTAAGTGCTCCTGAGTCTTCTCTCTCAACACCGTCGTTCTCAGCAGTTGGCTCTGGAGCTGTCAAGCAGAACGGAGAGTTGTGTCATGCCGAGCCAGGTTTGCTTCTCAATTACATCTGTGCAAATCCAGAGGATTTCACTGAATTGGTACCAAAAATAACAGTTATCCTGGGGAGCTGTGAACCTGGCTGGAGCAGGAGGGTGGGGTGGTGGGATCCTGGGAGTGCGCAGCAGTCCTGCTGCCAGGACAAGCAGCTGGAGAGGGAGCCTGATGAGATGGCTTCGGTGACCTGTCCCTGCTCTATGCATTAGTAACAGATAGCAGAGCCGGCCCCCGCGATGTTAATGCAAAATGCCTTGGTGTTTGCCTGCGTCTTGCAGAAGTCCTTGAGTAATATTTCATGGGGGTTGCTGCAGTTTGAATAGCAAGTAAGGATGTTTAATTAACAGGAGTAATGACCCATTCCAGGGGAAGGAGAGAGCAACTATCCCCACCCCTGGGAGGGCAGACTGTTTTCCTAAGCAAATTGTACCAGGAGCTGGTTGCTCATGAAATATTTACGTGCCGGGCTGCTCGGGGACGTTGGAGTGGCCCTCAGAAAGGCTATTATCACACAGAGCAGATGGAGGCACAGAGATTGTTTATTAAATTCAGATTGCCTTTTGCTATTATGTTAATGCTAGTTGGAGGGCAAAAGAAATCACCCTGACCCTGTGCCTTGGCTGTTGGGGCTCACGGCACCACCAGGATATGACCGTGCAGGAGGCAGGGAGGGAGCCAGGGGCAGGAACCTGCTTCCCTTCATGCCGCAGCTGTGCTCCGTGCTAGGCTGCTCTCCTCAGCTCTCTTCAGCTTTTGATGCTGCCCTGAAAACATCGCATTGATGGTCTTGGGCATGGTACTGGTTTGCGTTGCAGGTCACGTGGTCTCTCCGGCAGCACGAAAGACGCTTTACGGGGCAGAAAGAGCGTTAGCAGTAAGGTTGCGATGCTCCACCTCTTTTACTTTCTTTGGCAAAGCAAAACATAAGGTGGAACAGCCCTGAAGCTGCTCCAACCTGTGGCATGGTCTGAGCATCAGCCAAGCAACAGGTCCGCAGAGGTCAGCTGGAGGAACCCATCTCTTTCCTGAACCTCCCAGCCCCAAATGCAGGATTTGGGCTCCTCTTTCTTTGCCCACTTTAAAAAAAATCAAAAAGGCTTATTTTTTTGGTGAAGAGGTGAATGAAAGGAGTGCTTAGCACTGCCTGTAGGAAAGTCTGCGTTGTTGTGTGTGTGTCTGTTATGCCTGTGGCACCTATCATGAACAAGAAGACTTCTTCCCTAGGTTAAGGGCAAACCGGAGATGATCCCTGACACCCAGCCTGCAATGCATTCTTCAGCCCACATTCAGTTTTAACACTTTTTTTTTTTTCTTCTTCCTTCAGGCTATGAAAGTCCTCTCCAAAAAGAAGCTCTTGAAGCAGTATGGATTTCCGCGTGGGTATCTCATACTTAGAGATCTGCCTGCTGTCCTCCAGCCAGACAAATCTCCCCATAGCAATGTTGCCTGCGTAAGGGCTGCAGCACGTGGCCTCATTTGGAAGCTGCCTGTGTAGTTGGGGGGCGAGGTAAAGCACCGTGGGTATTGAAAGGACAGGCACGAACACAGGGAAATTCAAAGCACTTGGTAATTAGATTCCCGGCTTTGATTTTCTGAGTCTCTTTGAAGTGCTGGCTCTTTCCTGCCCACCATCCAGGAAGCATAGTTAAATGCTGGAAGCGAGGCAGGTTAGACCCCCCTCCTCCTGGGGGCATTTCTACTCCCTCAAATGGCACCTGGCTCCGTTGGCAGGGCCAAGGGATGTGGCAGATGGTCAGACTGGAAGCCAGCAGGAGCTGGCCTGGATAGGGGCTTGGAAAGCCCTGCTCAAGGTGGAGCCTTGAACACTGGCATGGGGAGGACGTGATGACATCTTCCAGAATGGCTGGGGCATCTTGCAGGGGGTCTGAGTCTGCTGCCCATTTCTTGGAGTTACTGATAACTGATGTTATCAGTTTGGGAGTTAGTGAAATCCCCAAGCAGTCAGATGTTAAAAAGTGCTATGCGGACAGAGAAGATTAGGGTGCCATCTCCAGGGTGCCTCTGTCCCTGCTCGGCCCTGCACCTGGGGGTTAGGCACCACAGGCTCTGGGCTTGCTCAGCACCTGGCTGGTGGCCGTCTGTTCCTGCGTGCTGGGTGCTGCTGAGAAGCAAGCTCTCCCCCACCCCATGTTGTTGCAATTGCAGGTCGGCCTCCTCCTAGAGGGTCAAGAGCAGCCTCTGGAGAGCAGCCAAAGCCAATGGCACCGCTAGACAGAGTCTATCAGGAGATAGCCATCTTAAAGAAGCTGGACCACGTCAACATCGTTAAACTGATAGAGGTGAGGCAAAGGCTGTGTCTAAGGGCGTGAATGAGGGGAGGGGAAGCAGTCAGGTACTGTACCAGTGGGGAAAAAAGGTGATAGGGGTTGGAAGACTCAGATCTTAGAGATCTTTAAAAATCCTGGCCCAAGTGTTTGCTCTGAGGCTGTCACTCTTCCCCTGCTCTGCGCAGGAGGGTGTGGGGTGAGAAGTAGAGTTGATCCAGGTGTGTCCATGAATCTCTGCACCTCAAGCTACGCTGAAGTAAATCTTGTTTGTCGTTCCTCGACTGCCCCGCTTCAGCCAAAATTGGTTTAAAACAGTGATTCAGAGTTGAGGCTGGTGACCCCAAGCAGGGACACAAATCACATGCGACAAACTGATGTACTTGTCCTGGTCCTTGGGGTGGTGGACCTGTGAGAAGGTAGCAGCTGGGTGTGCTGGTGGTGGCAGCAAGCTTTGATCAGTGAAACTTTTGCATAGACAAGGTCTGGGAAGGTGCACAGATACTAGCCTGCAGTGCTGTTTTCAGTATTGGCTGGGGTCAGACTAGGACAAGAAGTGCCGTTATTTGTAAGCAGTTTCTCCAAATATAGGCAGAAGCCCAGCTCCTTCTGGAGACAGGAAAATCTGTCTTTCAAAAACCTCCTTCTCTGCAGGAGTCTCTCAATATTAGCCTAAGTCATCCTTCATGCTCTGCAGCTCAACACAGTGTACAGGGAGCTGTAAAATGTTATTTGATTAAAAATGTCTCTTTTCCTTCCTGTTCTCTCTCTCTCCCCCTATCTCTGTTATCACTTAAAGGTCCTTGATGATCCTGCAGAGGACAACTTGTACATGGGTAAGTGAGTCGTCATATACTAACAGTACCGGAGGGTTTGTCCTCCTCCTGGTATGAGGCTGATCGCTGGACTCCTCGTATGAATACATGTGGTGACTCAAAGTCATCTAGTCTAGAGGTGCTCCCAGTGATGTCTCCAGTTGCGCTTGCCTCCCTAAGCCTTGGGGCCACCTAAGACAGCTGCACCCCTGCCTTGGGCCTCTTGGCCCAGACCTACTGCTGGGTGTCCAGCCTGGAGGTTGCAGCTGACTCGCACATTCATACAAAGGGTGGGGAATTTCCGTTCCAGCTCATCTTCCTCCTGCACAAACCTTGAAGCGTCAGCCATGGTCTAACTCCAGATATGAGCACAGCCTTGGAGGTTCAGGCCTGAGAGCACTGAGATGGGCCAGAGGAGGGGGATGTCCAACCCCCTTACCTCTCTGCTCCCCCTAATGTTTCCTGTTGAGATGGGCTCAAAGGCTGCTTCTCATGCAATAGTTATAGGATGCTTTGGAAGCTGCCTGCGAAAGGGGGCTCTGCCTTGCAAATGAATCCTTTTGCCTTTGAAAGGCCACTTTTCCTTTTCAGCCAAAGCCCTGGCAGCGTGCTAGTAGCATGAGCAGTGCAGCTGCCAAGGTGGGAGCATGTGTGGTGGGGAGGGCAGCTGAGAGAAATGAGGAAATGCATGCTGTTATTGAATGCAAATAAACACATGAGGCAATTCAAAAAGCTGGAGAAAAGAGAAACATGAGCTGTCCCTGTGGAACAAGGTAACAGTCCCAGAAATGGCAGCAGTAGCAGAACTCTCAGTCTCATTGGGAGTACTGGGGTGGTGGCACTGGTGCCTGGCACTGAGCGGCCGGCTGTGGCTGCGTCATCTGTGCCCTGTCCCCTCTCTGCCTCCTCTGCTTCTCTGCGCTCTGCCTGGGATACCGTTCAGGCAGTGAGACGCAGGAAAACCAAGCTCCTGCCTGCAGTTGCCTCTGCAGCAAGAGGAGCTGTGTGCGCTCAGCACTGCTCAGGGGTTTCCACTAGGATTTCCTGGGAGGTGCAAGGACTTGCTTAATTCACGAGGAAAGAAGCCTTCTCCTGGATGGCAGATCTTTCTTTTAAAACCGATGCTGGTTGCAACGTACGCGTCTGATGGCAGGATCTTTAGCAGGAGCATGTTGTACTTCTCTGGGACATGGATGTGGACACCCCCTCCAGAGCCTGGACCCCAACCCAGGCCCACCTGGCCCTGGGTGCTCTTGCTAGGTGTTTTAGTCTTCCCTTGAGCAGAGGCTGAGTGACGTTCAGTGACCGCTTGCTTTTGCAGAGCGAGTCAGAGGCAGGCCTGCAACAGACTCCGCAAGTGTGGTTCTTGTCAGCACACGCTGCTGTGGCGGAGCCCGCATTGCTGCCAAACACTGTATCCTAAAACCCCAGCGTGAGAGACCACCAACTTCTGTGGAGGAGCAAAGCAACACATTGCTGCTAACGCAGGCTCAGGATGAACCCATCTAACCCCTAATCATGCACAGGAGCTCTACGTGTTCCACAAACCCAAACTCGTGTCAGTAAATCCTCCCTGATAGCACCTGCTGAGGAACATTTACTACTTTGATAGCCATGCTGCTGTGCCGCTGATTGACCCAGCGGAAATGGCACGACGTGTTCTTCCAGCAACTCTTTCAGTATTAGCAATTTAGCAGAAGTATCATACCAAGCCTCCTTCCTGAATGTACTGAATTGGACAGCCCTCACGTTGGCGAGGGCTGCCGCTGGGAGCAGTTGGTGAATTAGCACCCGCTGTCTCCTTGCTTGGAGCTGGTGGGAGGCAGGGATTTTTGTCTTTACTAAAGAGAGGAATATTT